AAGAACATTAGTGGGAAAACTAGCAAAACTCAATATGCAGAAAAATGGTAACTCAGCAATATTTCAAACCCTGCATAGTTCAAAGAAAGGACTGGCACTTGACAGCTCCTGGGAGTTAACCTCTATGCCCTTGGAATATCCTGCCTGAAAACAGTATCTTTGTATACTTGGGGCCTTGGGCCATGCCAGGCAGTTTATACTAATAATGTGATTCCGAGTGGGTCCTTGGGCCACACTCTATCAGTTTCACATCTGGAGTCGATGGAGACAGAGTAGCTAAGGTCAGCCACACCAGTGTTATGCCCAGACCGTTTGTTCCCCAAAGAAGACCACCAGAGTCCAGAGTCAAAGCCAAGCGGCAAGGATCTTTACTACAAGTTCGAACTTGGTCCCTCCATTCCACAGCATACAGGAGGGCCTCGAACAATGCGAGTGCTTGCTTTTTATAGCCCGATGTAAACAGGATATGTAAAGTTACAGGGAACAAGGTAATTCTCTCGGTTACAGCATTACAATTGGTTAACATTATACATTTAGCATTCCTTATCGGAGATCTCCCAGGTGATGTTTTTCTGAAGTTTGAAAGAAATATGGAGGAATGTGTTTGCACTGGACTCAGGAAGTTGGCAGATATATGGGGGATGTGCCTCATTCCTTTCATCAGCATCCCACGGCTCTGTGATGACTGCAATAACTCTGGACACCAAGATGTTGCCAGATGGTGCCATGCAGTTCCAGTCTCTTGGTGTCCCAAACAAAAAGCTGGATTGGGCCAGGTGCCATGGCTTACTGTCAGGAGAACCCACTCCTGATGGTTTCGTGAGTTCTTTTCTATTTCCTGAGTGTCTCGGCTGGTTTGAGAAATAAAGGGAAAGAGCACAAGAGAGAAATTTAAAGCTGAGTGTCCGGGGGAGACATCACATGTCGGCAGGATCCGTGATGTTCCCCGAGTCGAAAAACCAGCGAGTTTTTGTTAGCGATTTTCAAAAAGGGAGGGAGTGCACGAATAGGGTGTGGGTCACAGAGATCACATACTTCACAAGGTAATAAAATATCACAAAGCAAATGGAGGCAGGGCGAGATCACAGGACCAAGATCACAGGACCACCGGATGGGGCGAAATTAAAATTGCTAATGAAGTCTCGGGCACGCATTGTCATTGATAACATCTTACCAGGAAACAGGGTTTGACAGCAGACAACCTGTCTGACCAAAATTTACTAGGCGGGAATTTTCCTCGTCCTAATAAGCCTGGAGCGCTACAGGAGACTGGGCTTATTTCATCCCTTCGGCTTTGACCATAAAAGAAGGCACGCCTTGAGGGGGCCGTTCATAGGCCTACCCTCAGGGTGCATTCTCTTTCTCAGGGATGTTCCTTGCTGAGAAAAAGAATTCAGCAATATTTCTCCTATTTGCTTTTGAAAGAGGAGAAATATAGCTCTGTTCCATCTGGCTCACCGGTGACCAGTTCAAAGTTACCTCCCTTGTTCCCTGAACATCGCTGTTATCCTGTTCTTTTTTTAAGATGCCCAGATTTCATATTGTTCAAACACACATGCTCTACAAACAATTTGTGCAGTTGACACAATCATCACAGGGTCCTGAGGCAACATTCATCCTCCTTAGCTTACGAAGAAGATGACGGGATTAAGAGATTAAAGTAAAGACAGGCATAGGAAATCACAAGGGTATTGATTGGGGAAGTGATAAGTGTCCATGAAATCTTCACAATTTATGTTCAGAGATTGCAGTAAATACAGGCATAAGAAATTATAAAAGTATTAATTTGGGGAACTAATAAATGTCCATGAAATCTTCACAATTTATGTTCTTCTGCTGCGGCTTCAGCCAGTCCCTCTGTTCGAGGTCCCTGACTTCCCGCAACTGCTCATGCCTATAGTCCCAGCACTTTGGGAGCCCGAGGCAGGCAGATCATTTGAAGTCAGGAGTTCGAGACCAGCCTGACCAACATGGTGAAACCCCGTCTCTACTAAAAATACAAAAATTAGCCGGGCATGGTGGCACATGCCTGTAATCCGAGCTACTCAGGAGGCTGAGGCAGGAGAATCGCTTGAACCCAGGAGGCAGAGGTTGCAGTGAGCCAGGATTGCACCACTGCACTCCAGCCTGGGCAACAGAACAAGGCTCTGTCTCAAAAACAAACAAACAAACCAAAAAACTGGACGTGACACACACAAGTAGCAAAGCCAGCAGCAATTGTTTATTAAGCACAGCATTATACTCTCCAAGAGGGCAGAGTGGGCTGACCTCTGCGAGATGAGATCAGCATCAGTTTGCTGTGCTTGTGGTCTTCTTATGTGTTTTTTCCCTTTCTTTTCCCAAGCCTGCCTAATCTCTAGCTAGTGTCTGCCTTTTGATTGATAGGTGTATTGCTTACTTTGGCCCTTGTGCACTTCCACGTCGACTCCATTCCATGACCTCAAGTACATGCATGATATGCAGTCCATATGCATGAGCTTTAATGAGCTGATTATCATACGGGGTCACGTTAAAGATACTTTTTCTCTCTAATGCGCATGCCCATCTCTGAGGAGCTGCCCTTTACTGGCTTGGTCAGGATCTTGCCAGCCATGGGGTCTCTTTACTCAGTTTTTTATCTTACTTTTGTTTTGGCTGCTTAACTTCTGCTTCTTATCTTGCTTCTTGCTCACTCACCCCTTCACCTTGCTTCTGCTTTCGATCATTCCGCCCTTTATCCAACCTCCAATTCCTTCTGCTGTTCTCCTACCTCAAAAGTGTGCTTCCCTGGTTGTCAATACTCCGTGCATATTGTAAACATCGTTTTCGGAAGAATTAAATGCTGTCCCTACAACACCACTGGGAAAGGACACCTAGAAGCTCAGTCCATTCTCTCCTAGACTTCCCACTATGTACCTTTTTCTTCTACTGATGTTAATCTGTAACCTTTTGCTATAGTAAACTGTAACCATGAGTATTACAGTTTCTTCCTGTTTGTTCTAGAGGCAAAGTCTCACTGTCACCCAGGCTAGAGTATAGTGGTTCCATCATAGCTCACTGCAGCCTCGAACTCCTGGGCCCAAACAATCCTTCCACTGCATCCTCCCAAGGAGCTAGCACTACAGGCACACATCACCACACTGGGCTAATTTTTACATCTTTTTTGGTACAGACAGGGTCTTGCTATGTTGTCTAGGTTGGTCTCAAACTCCTGGCCTCAAGTGATCCTCACACCTCAGCCTCCCAAAGCATTGGAATTATAGGCATGAGCCACCGCGCCTGGCTCAGTATAACAGTTTCTAAGTTCTGTGAGTCTTCCTAGCAAATCACCGGACCTGAGGTTGATCCTAGAGAACCTCTGACGCACTCAAATAAGTTCTGAAGATTAGCTAACAATATTGCAGCAGTGTTAATGTCTTGGTTTCATAATTGTACCTTAGAAGAAGCTGAGTGAAGGATATACAAGAACTTTTTGCAGCTTTCTGAAAGTCTAAAGTTATTTCAAAATAAAAAGTTAAAAACAAAGTTCAAGGAAACAAGTGTGATCATTTTTAGTGCTGGATGTTAGGTACGTGTGGGTTCATTATATTTTTCTCTTCACTTTTGTACAAGTTTGAAATATCTTGTAATTTTAAAAGCCTTTTTAAGCTACAGAATTCAAGAGTTCAGTGCAACAAATCAAAATGATCACATCCAAAACATACAGAACAGGGTCAGCTTCAAAGCGGATGAGAAAACAATTTAAACATGGAGAGTTTATTAAAAAGCCTTGCTCCAAGAGCCCCTGAGCAAGGCTTTCTTCACTGGGCACTTCCTGCAATCCAAGCCTTTCTCTATGGCAGAGAGTAACTAAGTCATTCCCATAGCATAAATCCTTGACAGAGATGAGTCCAGTTGGAAGTAAGAACTTTCACCTCCAAACAGTGGGGCCAAGACCACCTTCCCTGAAACCACTGCCCACAGCAATGGGGACTGCCAGGATTCTGAGCCCCACAGCTCCAGAAGGACCTGCTAGGTAATAAGTTGCAAAGCTTGGGCCACAGGTCCTGCCTCTTCCTGCAGACACAAGCTAGACATTACCTTCGCAATATGATGGGGTGCTGTGAGGCTCCTTACGGAGCAAACACCTTGCATTACAGGGGGGCCAAGGCCCAGAAAGGGAGTACACCTGCTCAGGGTCAAAATAGCTCAGAAGTCCTGCCAGAACAGAAGCCTTGATCTCCTACTGGTCCCCTGATTTCTTTCCCAATCTTACACAAATGTGTTACGTAATCTACTTATTGTGCAAACCTAAACAAGGTGACATCCCTTCCCTGAGCTTGTTTCCTTACCTGCAAAATGAGGAGCCGCATCTGACTTTCCAGGGTGGTTATGCAGGGAGGGAACCTCTAAGCCTCTCATTCCTCTCACTAAGACCCAGCTCCCATCTGGATCCCACACACTACAGATGGATGCGCCACAAATATTTTTCCAGGGAATGTCAGGGGATGCTAAGCATAAGACAAGCCATATTTTAGAGCAGAAACATGGGAAGAGAGGAAAAACATACACCTTACAGAGCAATCCTTTCACATGAGGACCATCTGAGGGGAGCCTATTAAGCTCGTGTGATATTAACAGCTTGAGTCCCTGAAGGGCACACAGTGAAAGATCAGTGAAGACCAAGATATCACTTTGGAAACACTGCTGGGGTACACAGCTTTTTGGTACAAGTAGTGTCAAAGGAATCCCTGGCTTTGAGAAGGAAGGGTTCCAACCTCCCAGCAGTCCTCCCAGAGCAGCCCCAGCAACTGGCACAGAGGTCACACCCATGCAGGAAGAGAGGGAGGAGGGAGGGGAGCTCTGCACGCCGGGACAGGCGGAGCGCTGGCCAAGCAGGGCTCTCCGCTCCTGTGTTCCAGCCCCTCTGTGGGAGGAGAGAAGGGCAGGACCACAAGCCTGTGAGAGGCTGTGGCCTACAGCCGGGGAGAGGCCAGCCCGGCCTACAGTGCAGACACAGGACAGAGGGGAGCCAGGTGAGCCAGGCTTTCGGGTGGGGAGGGACTGGGAGACCCCAGAGGACAGAGTCGCCCCCGTGATGACCCTGTCTGCAGCTACGAGAGACCCTGAGCAAGGCTTTCTTCACTGGGCACCTCCTGCAAACCAGGCCCTGCACTAAGTGTTAGGGTCACAGCGGGACAGTGACAAAGATCCTGGCCCTCTTGCAGTTTCTGTGTTACTAGCAGGGAGATGGAAGTAAACAAAAAACATATGACATTAGTAAATGATCTCAAATGTCAGAAGAGGGTAAGTGAAAAGAGAAAAAGGAGAGCAGAGTGAGGAGGACAGGGAATGCTGGGGGAGGTGGCTTGGTTTTAAAGACGGTGGCCTCTTTAAGGTTAAACGAGGTTCAATGCAAACAGCCCTGGTGACATTTGAAGAAAGGGTGTTCTGGGCAGAGGGAGCTACCCTGGCAAAAACTGGCAGTGGCAGGGAGGGCTGGAGCATTCAGAACAGCAAGGAGGTAGTGGCAACAGAGCAAGGAAAAGAGGTGAGGCAGGAAGAGAGGAGCCACACTAGGTGCGCTTGCAGGACGCCAGGGGGCAGAGGATGGAGCCCTTACCAGCACCCCCACAGCCCTGCTAGGGGTATTGGTTTGAAAGCCTGCGTATGAATTTCACTTGCTACATGTGGCTGCATGATCTTATAAAGTCTCCTCCCTTTCCAAGGCCCACATCCTCCCCATAAAATGGTAATAACTGCAGTGCATCTGTCAGGTTGAGGTCAGGAAGGAAGGGCAATCAAAAGCATGGCAGCCTGCAGGAAAGATTTACAGCATGCCTGCTGCAAGCTAGGAAATGTAGAGCTGGCCTCCCAGGCCTTGTGGGAGGAACATGTAAGCAAATAAGAACTTGTCCCTAACCCTAGAGCACTCCGGGGACCAGGGAGCTGAACCTTGTTCGGAGAGAACAGCAGGGGCAAAGTGTAGGAAGAGAGTGAGTGGAGGCCAGGGATGATGTGGCAGTTAGTTGACATAGGAGAGAGGCGAGTGGAGTGGGAGGTGGGTAGACACAGCAAGGACTCCGTTCCACTAACAGTGGGCCCCAAGGAGCAGATTCCAAGCAGGAGAGGAAAACAATGTGATCTGCAGTTCAAGAGTTCACCTGGCAGCTGGGAGAACAGATAAAAGGGACACTGAGGCCAAGTAAGAGATGACAGTGGCCTGGATGCTAGCCAAAGAGATAGCAAGGAGCAGATGGACTCAAGAGACTTGTGAAATAGGACGAACTGCACCTTATGGTTCCCTCACTGTGGAGGAATAGGGGCTTCTCAGAGGCCAAGCATTTGCCATGGAGGAGACAGGGCCCAACCTGGGTGTGAAAGACACTCAGGGGTTCTAGGGGAACACTTCACAGTCAGGGAGCAGGTTTCCTCCTTTCAGTTCCACAATACACCTGCAGGGCTCATAGAAATGGGGCTGAATGATCCTAGAACTTATGAGCAGCTGAATGAGACCAAGGTGCCCTCAGTAATCCTCCACAGTGGAGCTGTAGTATGGACAAGGCATGTGCTTTGTGGTCAGACCCCATCCAACTCCTGGCCGTCTCCAGCTGTGTGGCTAGGGGCCACTCAGCCTCTCCAGGATTATTTTCTTCAGGTGTAACCTTCACTGACTTTTTTGTGAAGATTTCCCTAGGCAACTCATGTAACACAAACTGCAGTGGATAGAGCCCAATCTTCGGGGTCAGGCCCTGTTCAATCTTATTTAACAAGTATTGAACAGACATGTACCAAGCAATGACTGCATACCATGCCTACCATGCACACAGTGCCTGGTCCACAGCCAGCATCCACAGGGAGAGTGTGGAGGTGGAGTGGGACTCAGGTACTTAGGGATGTCTTTCTTCTACCAACCAGCCCTGGCTAACACCCAGCCCTAGGCAGTTCCTCTTGCACACAGGTTCTTTGCACTGACCAACACTGAGAGCAGACCCTCGGAGCAGCCGGGTCGGAAGTGTTTCACCTCAGTCACCAGACAGATCCAGGATAGGATGGGCAGCCCAGTGCACCGAGTGTCACTGGGGGATACCTGGAGCAGGCAAATGCACCCCGACATGGAGAGCGAGAGGTATATGCAGTCCTTTGACGTGGAACGGCTCACCAACATCCTTGATGGAGGTGCCCAGAACACTGCTCTCCGGAGGAAAGTTGGTAAGGGGAAGCTGGGGAATAGGACATCTGCTTTATGCCCCATGCTTCTCTTGTAAGAAGAGTCTCCTTCATTAGCAGTCCTGCTTTCAAATAACAAACTTTGCCTTGAAATTCCACTGTTAGAGATTCATTCCTTTGAACTGTAAAGACAATCTTCACATGTCAATATTGCCTGAGCCCACCTGGGGGATAGAAGAGTCCTAGGCAGCAGAAGACCTGGATTCTGGTCCTAAAATTCTGCCACTGCATAGTTTTGTAACCTTGGGCAATTCACTTTCCCACCTTGGTCCTCAGTTTTGTCATCTGTAAAATAACAATAATGTCTGACTTCCTTTCCAGATCCATGAAGCAAGTGGGTAAGAAGATTTGAAGGTGCCAGAAACCTCACCCAGGTCCCTAAGCCCTCTATTCTCTGTCTCTGCAGAGAGCATCATCCACAGTTACCCAGAGTTTAGCCGTAAGGACAATTATTTCATGACCCAGAATGAGCGTTATAAGGCTGCCATGCGGAGGGCATTCCACATTCGGTTGATAGCACAGCGCCTGGGTTGGTTGGAAGATGGTCGTGAATTAGGCTATGCTTACAGGTGCTCACTTCTGGGGCAGCCCCACTAGAGAGGGATCCACCTGGGATCACCTGGAAACCCCCCAGCCCCATGAGCCATTTCCCCCAACAAAGGGAAGACTTGTTGGGAAACCAGGATGCAAGGTGCCCTTTATCTCCTGTACTCTGCTCAGGCAGGGGGTACCTGGGCCCCCATCTCCAATAGGCTACTCAACTACAGCATCTCTCCCCAACAGAGCCCTTTCTGGAGATGTGGCTTTAAATATACACAGAGTCTTCCTGAAAGCCCTCAGGAGCCTGGGCTCAGAGGAACAGATTGCCAAATGGGACCCACTCTGCAAAAACATCCAGATCATCGCAACGTATGCACAGACAGAGCTGGGACATGGTGAGCCAGGGCTGCTGCATGTGGTGTTTAGGCTGTGCACTGCAAAACTCCAGAGGGCCCATTTACATCTCGGTAGTCACAGGTTCATATGCTTCGAGGGACATATGTTTAATATGAAAACATTCCAGCAGATGGCAGTCAAGGGTCTTGAGGAAGGGATGCCGCCTTCTAATTTGCACATATTGTGTGAGCTCCCAGTGGGGCAAGTCATTCCTTCTGGAAACATCAGCAGCCATCCCTTGTCACAGACTGGCTATAGGGGACTGTGTGACCCCCACACGGCCCACAGATGAAAGGGGAGAACTGCCTGCACGTACAGCTGGGAGCTGAGCCCCACTCTGTACCGCACTGATGCCTAAGAGTTCAGGCCCACCTAGAAGCAGCTTCCCAGGAAAGAACCCCACCTTGGGCCAATTCTAACATCCCTCCTTGATCCTAAGGGACATATCTTCAGGGCCTGGAGACTGAAGCCACCTATGACGCAGCCACCCAGGAGTTTGTGATACACAGCCCCACGCTGACTGCCACCAAATGGTGGCCTGGAGACCGTGAGTATCCATCCAACCCCCTTCCTTATCTCTCCCCAGATAGAAATATTGGAGGGCAGAGTAGCACTGGCTTTGAGGTTCAACAGACCTCAGATTGATTTTCTGTTCTAGGCTGCTGACCTTGGGCAAGTCAGTTCACCTCCCTGAGCCTCAGGTTCTCACTCTGTAAAATAGGTGGGATGTTAAACATTTCATTAGTGAGTGGCTGGAAAGTCCCCAAAGGAACTTTGAAATAGAGGAGACAATCCATGACAGACAAGGCCTCACACTCACACACACACACAAACACACACACACTTGGTCTAGTCCCAGGCACTCCTCACATCTCCTCTCATCTCCTGAGTTATTGGTAGAGCTTGCCGCCAGCCAGAGCACAGGCCCTGTGATGAGACAGTGGAAAGAGCACGCCTGTCTGCCCCTGCTGCAGACACCCAGAAAGGCTCACGCCCACCACCAGCCCCCATCAAGCCACCAACGCCGTACCTCCTGCTGTGGCCACCAGGTGGCGGCCACATCAAGTGTCCCTGAGGCTCGGTGATTTACCAAGCCCCAAGGAGGGATTTCCCCTTCCTCAAACTTGAGAATTTCACCTCCCAGGACACATCTGTGGCACTTGGGGACCCACACCTTGTGTGGAAAAAATTAAAACAAATATGCTGAGTCCCACTAAAGCAGGAGAGTGACAGAGATGAGAGACACACAGACAGAGGAAGACAGAGGCAGAGACCAGAGACATAATAGAGAGACATGAGCCAGGTGCGGTGGCCCATGCCTGTAATCCCAGCGCTTGGGGAGGCCGAGGTGAATGGATCACCTGAGGTCAGGAGTTTGAGACCAGCCTGACCAATATGGTGAAACCTCATCTCTACTAAAAATACAAAACTTAGCCGTGTGTGGTGGCGGGTGTCTGTAGTCCCACCTACTCGGGGGGCTGAAACAGGAGAATTGCTTGAACCTGGGAGGCGGAGGTTGCAGTGAGCTGAGTTCACACCATTGAACTCCAGCCTGGCGAAAGAGCAAGACTCTGTCTCAAAAAAGAGAGAGAGAGAGAGATGAGAGAGTGACGAGAGAAAGAGAGATAGAAAATAAATGACTACTGTCAAAAATGAAGACAAAAGAAACCACCCTTTAAGATCAGATAGACCGGGGTACAGATGAATCCTAGCTCTGCCCCTCCAGGCCAGTGACCTTCAGTGTGTCACTCTACTCTCTGAGCCTGTTTCCTTATCTGGAAAATGGGACTCATCATCCTCTCTCCCCTGCGAGAACTGGAAAGCATCTATCACAGGGTCTAGCGCCGCCTAGATTTTGATAAACGATAATTATCTGTATTCATTGTTATAAGGTTGATGACAGAGTAATTCATTAATAGTTGGGGGGTGGGGGGCAAAAAAAAAGCTGAATCATTTCACAGTGCCTTTGCCAAGTCACTGCTAAGTTTGCTTGGTTCTTTGGGGGCAATCCCCCCTCTCTTTGATCAATGACTTTTCAGGGCCCCAGAGGTACACATCCAAAACCCCAGCCCCAGGAGGCTGGGTTGGGAAAAGCAATGCGCAGGTCTTCCTGTGACGGGCCTCTCCTCTCTCTGCCCTCAGTGGGACGGTCAGCCACCCATGCCCTGGTCCAGGCCCAGCTGGTCTGCTCAGGAGCCCGGCGGGGCATGCACGCTTTTATTGTGCCAATCCGGAGTCTTCGGGACCATACCCCACTGCCAGGTGAGCCCATAATGCTCCCTCAAGGACCCCGCCAGGAGGAGAGCCCAGGTGGCCTCCCTGACCTGGGGCCCCAGAGGGCCACACGAGTAGCTAAGACATGCCTCCCTTGGGCAGAGAGGGGTCCAGCTGGACAGACTTGGTGCTAACTGGTGAGGTGAACTTGAGCAAGATTTAGCATCTGTCTGACCTCAGCTTGTTCACCTGCAAAATAGGTACAACAACCCCAGGGTCACAGGCTGCTGTGACTTGGAATGTGTGTGTGATACCTGCCACATAACAAGCAGTCTCTCAACTGATAGGTGTCCTCATCTCCATCTCCTTCAAGGAATCATCGTTGGGGACATCGGGCCCAAGATGGACTTTGATCAAATGGACAACGGCTTCCTGCGGCTGAACCATGTGCGGGTCCCCAGGGAGAACATGCTGAGTCGCTTTGCACAGGTTACAGGTCTGGGGAGGACGGGGACTTGTACTTCCCGGAGAGGGGACCCGCACTTTGTGCAGGCTGGGTCTGGGTCCTCCATAGAGCTGAGTTTGGGCCACATAACCTCCTCCCGCAAGAGAGGCTCTGATGTCCCACAGACTGGGGTGAACCCTGCTTAGGAGCAGTATGATCTTGGACACAGAGCCTCCGAGTTCTCATGCAGAAATGCTCGTCACATAGGCTGACGGAGCAGTCGTGGGGTGGAGCGGCAGCCCCAGGAGAGGATAGAGCTGAGGTGATCTGCGTAATATTTACCCACGGTGAGGCCTGACACAGCCAGTCGCCCAGCAGATACCAGCCAGAATGCCAGCAGGAGTTCTGGCGGTCCCAACTCTGCCAGGCATCACCCCTTTAGTTATGAGTTGTGGGGCGGTCTGGGGTGTCCCAGGAGAGGCGCTGTGAAGCAGGGCACTTGGGGAAATGACCTGGTATTTTAACATTCCAACCCCAGATGCGCCAGTTGAGGGGAGAAGCACCCTCCCTGTGTGGAGCCCCGCAGCTCTGGGGAAGCAGGGGCATCGTGGGGAGCCTTGGCTCAGACCTTGTGCCCATCCTTGTTCCACACAGGTCTTGCCAGATGGCACATACATCAAACTCGGGACAGCACAGAGCAACTACCTTCCCATGGTGGTGGTGCGGGTGGAGCTGCTGTTAGGGGAGGTCCTCCCTACACTGCAGAAGGCCTGTGTCATCGCCACGCGCTACTCAGTCATCCGCCGCCAATCCCAGCTCCGGCCCAGGCAAGGGGTGCCCAGTGACTGACTACCACAGATATGCTGCCTCTTGGTCCCACAGTGCCTCCCCCGACACTCTTCTGCCAGAGCCAGAGAGCTGGGAGCAGGCACTGCCACCCACCACACATACACACACACACACACACACACACACACACACACACAATCTACACAGGCCTGGCCCCATCTGGGCATGTCAGAGAGGTCTCTCTGGCTCCCTCTAACAGGGCTGACCAGTTGGCCTAACCTGCATCCTCAGTGCCTGGACCCCTTGGGCTCTGTGTGATCGTGCCTTTGGCCCTGTAGCACCAGGTCTGTCTGACTCTGTGTCTGTCCGAGTCCGGCTGTGTTCTGTGTGGCTGTGAGGGGTTGGACGGGTCTGGGTCAGTCAGTTGCCAGCTGCGTCAGACTGTGGCTGGCTGAGTTGATTCTGTCAGGCTGAGCCTAGCAAAATCCAATGTCATATCGATTGTGTGTGGCTGAACTCGTTCTGTCCAGCTGTGCTGTCAGCATCTGACTGGTATGTCTATGTCTGGATCCCTTTTGTTGTAATTGGTTGTGTTGCTACCACTCCCTCCACCCCACAGCACAGAACAGCAAGGGCTGACTGAACCCTCTGTGAACACTCAGCTCGGCCATTTCACTTCATCCCTCAGCTTCCTCAGCTACAAAATGGGTGTGGCAGAAGCGGCCTTTCAGGGTGGTGTGGAGGGTGAAATGCAGTAAGGTGCATTAGGCCCTCAGCCCAGGATCCTTTCCTCTGGCAAGCTCACAGCGCCCTCGCCTGGCCTGGGCTTCGGAGTCCGGGCTGCGAGAGTTCTCTGCAGGAGAGGGCCACTGGGAAGAAGGGGCTTCTGCTGCTGTCCTGCCCGAGGCCCATTTATCTGGGCTGCAGAAGTGTCCCTAGGGTGGTCATGAGAAAGATGCGCCAGGTGAGCAGCTGCTGTCCAGAGAGGAGGCTTCTTGTAATCACACCCTCTTCCAATCCAGTTACTGTGAGCTCGTAAGTGCTGGACATAGTCTCAGGCACTGAGGACATAGCAGTGGGTAAGGCAGACACAGTCCCTTCCTTGGGGTTCCATTGAACCCGAGTTTACATTCTAAGAGTTATTGTTTAGGCTTGATGTATTCCTCAGCACACAGCAAGTGCACACGGGCAGTGGAGTCACAGGTTCAAATCATCACGGGTGCACGGCCACAACTCTTCACCTGAAATCTTGGGACCAGGCACGTTGGAATCTCAGAACTTTTCAGGTTTTAGGATAATACCGTGTATATGCTGGAATTCTATAAGCCTCCCATAACAAGAGGCAGTACCCACCAACAAACGTGTCAATATTCCTGCAGTGAAATGTGTGGATGGATGTTCATGTTAGATGGGATTTTTAAAGGATTATCAACAGCCTCATGTCAGTTCAAGTTCTGCAATCAGTTCTAAGGAACTGTCTGTTTTTAAGGTTTTTATGGTGTCAGGGATAGGGGAAGGTGGACATGGCACGTAGTGATTAAATCTTCCGGTTCTTTTCCCTTCAGTGACCCAGAGGCAAAGGTCCTGGACTACCAGACGCAGCAGCAGAAACTCTTTCCTCAGCTGGCCATCAGTTATGCCTTCCATTTCCTGGCAGTCAGTCTCTTGGAGTTCTTCCAGCACGCCTACACTGCCATTCTGAACAGAGACTTCAGCTTGCTGCCTGAGGTACCTGCTGTCTGCAGAGAGGCAGGCGCTGGGAGGGCAGCTAAGATTGCTCCACTCACTGGGGAACAGCCACAGCCCCATCCCCGCGGGCACTCCCCACCCCCACCCCTCCCAGCTTTCAGCATCCCAGGGCGTCTGGGTGAATGGCACCCTGATATATAAATTTACCCACAACTGGCCCCCAGAGAGCTGCAAACATGCTAAGAGAAAACAATCACATCTAGTGTAGAGAACACAAGTCCACAACCCCGATGTGTATTTGAAACCCAAAAAGCTCTGAAAAACAGTCGTTTGGAACTCATTTGGTGGCACAGTTTGACCTGAACTGACCTGATTTATCCTTCTGAGTGTGAATACATTTTGCGGGAAAATTATTAATGTGTTTAATCCTTAAAGCCGCCCCAAACCCCACTGGGCTATTATATAAAATGTACCTTCAATGCCACTTGGCCTCTCTACAATTCAAAAGTTACTCTGATTCCTAAACACATCTGGCTCACAGGTCTCAAGTAAATCTTACATATACAGTAAGATTCAGTCTGTCCAGGCACCATGCTTTATAAGCCCTGCTCATTAACCCTTTCAGCTTCAATTGAGGCACAGAGAGATCAGGGGACACAACTTTCCTCCCAAGGACTTGAAAACTCCAAAGATAGGCAGGGGCTTCAAGAACCAAAATCTCAAACTAGGCCTGCTGCCTGGCAGCCTCTCTCTCTGTTGAGGCTGCTGTAACAAAATACCATAAAGCGGTGGTTTATAAACAACAGAAACTGGCCCAGCATGGTGACTCACACCTGTAATCTCAGCACTTTGGGAGGCCAGGGCAGAAAGATTGCTTGAGCCCAGGAGTTTAAGACCAGCCTGAGCAGGATGGTGAAACCCCCATCTCCACAAAAAAAAAAAAAAAATTGAAAAATTAGTCAGTTGTGGTAGCACACACCTGTAGTCCCAACTACTACTTTGGAGGCTGAGGTGGGAGGATTCCTTGGGCCCAGGAGTTCAAGGATGCAGGAGCTGTGATTGTGCCACTGCACTCCATCCAGTCCAGCCTGAGCAGCAGAGTGAGACCCTGTCTAAAAAAAGAAAAACAAATTTATTTCTCACAGTTCTGGAGGCTGGGAAGTCCAAGGTCAAGGCACTAGCGCATTTGGTGTCAGGTGAGGGCCTGCTTCCTGGTTCATGGACTGCTGTCTTTTTGCTGTGCCCTCGTATGGTAGAAGCAACCTCTTTCTTTCTTTTTGTTTTATTTTATTTTTTTCCTGAGACAGAGCTTCACTCTGTCACCCAGGCTGGCGTGCAGTGGTGCAATCTCGGCTCACCGCGACCTCCGCCTCCCGGGTTCAAGAGATTCTCCTGCCTCAGCCTCCTGAGTAGGTGGGATTACAAGTGCCCGCCACCATGCCCGGCTAATTTTTGTATTTTTAGTAGAGACGGGGTTTCACTGTATTGGCCAGGATGGTCTCGATTTCCTCACCTCGTGGTCCACCTGTCTCGGCCTCCCAAAGTGCTGGGATTGCAGGTGTGAGCCACCACACCCAGCCAGAAGCGGCCTCTGTCATGAGGGTACTAATCCCATTCACGAAGGCTACACCCTCATGACCTAATCACCTCCAGAAGGCCCCACCTCCTACTACCATCATAATACCTCCTATTCCTAGCTCCTAATCATCAATACCTCCTAATCCTAGCCCTAACCCTTGGGGACTAGGATTTCTAAATAAGAATTTTAGGTGGACACATTCAGACCCTGTCACCCTCCAACAACCCAGTAAGTGGGCTTACAGTGGACACCCGTCCTCACAGGCGGGCTTTCTAAAACCCATGCCGGCAAAATCTGTAACTCCTGGAGGCTTGTGGGCCCAATCCAGGCAGCACCCTCTTCCCAATCCTGGAGACGCTGGCCAGGCCAGGTTTTCCTTTGCTTTTATGCCCCTACAGCTACACTGCCTAATTGTGTGCCTCTGGGTGAGTCACATAAGCTGAGTACCCGCCTTCTCATTCAGAATAAGTTGTGAGCAGAGGAAACACTTCTTACCTCAGAGTTGAGCTGGGCATGCAGTAGATGCTCAGTAAGTGGTGCACAGGGTTGGTCCCCATGGTAGGGGCCCCCTTACACCCCCCAACCCCCCTCCATGTTCTCACAGCTCCACGCACTGAGCACAGGCATGAAGGCCATGATGTCGGAATTCTGCACTCAGGGAGCTGAGATGTGCCGCAGGGCTTGTGGCGGACACGGCTACTCAAAGCTGAGTGGCCTGCCATCACTGGTCACCAAATTGTCGGCCTCCTGCACCTATGAGGGTGAGAACACAGTGCTCTACCTGCAGGTGGCCAGGTAAGGTCCAGGCTGACCCAGGCCTTTGCCCAAGCCCGTGGGGACCCACCAAGCTTGTTGGGTGGAGGGTTCCGTCTGATGCCCATAAAGGGAGCAGGCTTTGGGAAGTGCCACTTGGGAGCTGTCCAATTCCCCAGTATGACTCATCTATCCACTTCTAGGCCACCATCTTCTCTCACCTCCACCACAGCCTCAGACCCCTCCCTGGTCTCTTGCTTCTGTCCTGTCCTGCTTCTCCACAGGCAACCGGAGGGATCTTTTTTTTTTTTTTTTTTTTTTTTTTTGAGACGGAGTCCCGCTCTGTCGCCCAGGCTGGAGTGCAGTGGCCGGATCTCAGCTCACTGCAAGCTCCACCTCCCGGGTTTACGCCATTCTCCTGCCTCAGCCTCCCGAGTAGCTGGGACTACAGGCGCCTGCCACCTCGCCCGGCTAAGTTTTTGTATTTTTTAGTAGAGACGGGGTTTCACCGTGTCAGCCAGGATGGTCTCAATCTCCTGACCTCGTGATCCGCCCATCTCAGCCTCCCAAAGTGCTGGGATTACAGGCTTGAGCCACCGCGCCCGGCAACCGGAGGGATCTTTTCAGAGCCTAGGGAAGGTCACATTTTTCTCTGGTTTGAAATTCTTCAATGGCTTCCCAGTGCTCGTAGGAAAAAGATATATTCTATGCTGTGGCCTGCAAGGTCTGTGTGACCTGACCCCTGCCTCCCTGTCCATGATGCTCTCACCACCTCCTGCCTCTGCTCACTTCCACTCTTTCTGTTTTTTTTTTTTGTTTTTTTTTTTGAGATGGAGTCTCACTCTGTCACCCAGGCTGGACTGCAGTGGTGCAATCTCGGCTCACTGCAACCTCCGCCTCCTGGGTTCAAGCAATTCTCCTGTCTCTAACTCTGCAGTAGCTAGGACTACACACCACCATGCCCGGCTAATTTTTGTATTTTTAGTAGAGAGGGGGTTTCTCCATGTTGGCCAGGCTGCTCTCCAACTCCTGACCTTAGGTGATCCACCTGCCTTAGCCTCCCAAAGTGCTGGGATTACAGGCACAAGCCACCACACCCAGCCACCTCTGCTCACTTCTGCCAGCCACACACCTCTTTCTGTCCAGGAGGCCTTTGCATTTGATCCCCTCCCACCCCAACATGGCCTTGTTTCCTTTGGAGCAGTTTCACAATCTATCGTTGTCTCATTTTTTTGTTCACCTTTTTAGCTCTACTCTCCAAGTAGACTAGGAGCTCCCTGAGGGCAGGGACTACCCCTACTTTGCTCACTTTAGCATCGCCTAGGCTTGGTGCAGAGCCTGCACACAGAGGCTCCAAGCAATGGCCAAGTCAGCCTCCTCCACACAAGCGATTTCTTTTCATCCCTCTTAGGTCTGTGGACCCTGGAGGCTGACAGAGCCTCATCCTCACCTACTCTCAGATGACCAAACAGGGCAAATGCTTCCCTATGCAAGGAGAAAGAAGTTCACTGGCAAATATGAAAAACAACATTTATTGTGTTTTTAAAAATGTATAACGTCCCTTGATTTTTTTCCAAATTAGGAAAGGAATACAATAGCACATATTATGTACACTGCACTGTGCTAAGCACTCTACAAATATCATCTCATTCCGTTTCACAAACCCTCAATCAGATGAGAACTGTCCTCCCACCTAGAGCCAGAGAAACCATGACTTGGGAGGTGATGCTTCGTTCATCATACAGGTCTCAGCGAGGCTGTATGGGAATCCAGGGCTGTCTAAGCCCAGAACCTGTAACCACTGGATTATCCTAAAGCAGCAGTTGAGAGTCACCTATAATCCTCCTACTCCTGTTAGCATTCTTGCCTCTATCCTTCTTTTTTCAGCTAAGAAAATTTAATTTCCACCCAGTCACTGTACAAGTCATTATAAATCCCAAAATCGCAGTATTCTGATGGAAAATTCTGTTTGCTCAGATCACAGAAGGGTTTCTGTTCAGGATCTGAGAGTGTCTGGCCCGGCTCTACAGCTTCCCGGGGTGTGCCTGACTGCAGGCCTCGAGGCAGGATGGCCCAAGGGGGAATCCTCAGGAGGGAGGCCAGGTGGAGGCCCGGTGACCTGGCTCTCCCACGGGAAGGCTGGAACCCAGCAGGAACTCGCCTACCTCTGGGAGTGAGGGGTGCTGGGCTGTCCTGCAGAGTCTCTGCCCTCTCACCTGCCTCCCCTTCCACCCCCCAGGTTTCTGGTGAAGAGCTACCTGCAGACTCAGATGTCCCCTGGCTCCACGCCACAGAGATCTCTCCCTCCATCTGTCGCGTATCTCGCCACACCTGACCTGGCCAGGTGTCCAGCCCAGAGGGCAGCCGACTTCCTCTGCCCAGAGCTCTACACCACGGCCTGGGCACACGTGGCAGCAAGGTAAGCCAGTGCTGAGAAAGCAGCCATCCCACCTGGGGACAGGCTCCATGCCACACTAGGGCCTTTGGATTGGTTGGGTGGACATTCGTGGATTCAGTTCTAAAAAGCCACCCCATGCCTAGCCTCCCCCATCCTCTCAGTCCCTGCCACCATGGGAGAGAGAGGGGAAGTCCCCCGCATCAGCCATGGATCCCCATCACTTCCCCATCCTGGTCACAGTAGTAGAAGCCATGGATCCCCATCACTTCCCCATCCTAGCCACCTCTGGTGGCCCAGAGGTGTGATGTCCTTCTACTACTGTGAGATATTTTTCGAATCTCTAGGGTCCTATGGTGATTTGCAATACAAGGAATGTACCACATGTAAATACTACAAATGTATTGATATGCAAATATCAATAAATAAAGCAATACTCACTTGTATGTTTGAAATATCCCATAATATAAAAATAATTTTTGAAAATATGACAACACCACAGAATAGAATTCATTTATTTCCAGGGTCTAGTAGGCTCCAGGGAACATGGACAAAGCCAAGGACTCATCCATTCTGTCATTCAACAAATACTGTTCAGTACCTACTCTGTGTTAGGAATGACTAAATATGCCAGGGGCTGGGAATAGAGAGGTCCTGACCAAACACAGATACCACCGTGGAAAAGATGGAGGTTTAACTACCTAAAAAGGAAATCTTCTGAACCCTGCCCCAAATTAAAACACCAAAAACAGGCTGGGCATGGTGGCTCACACCAGTAATTCCAGCACTTTGGGAGGTCGAGGTGGGAGGATTGCTTGAGCTCAGGAGTTTGAGACCAGCTTGGGCAACATGGTGAAACCCCACCTCTACCAAACATAGAAAAAATTTAATAAAAAAATAAAAATGAAACACCAAAAACAAACTGGAAAAACATGTTTTCAGTATATAATAAGAGGCCTTATATCCCAACCTGTGGTCCCAGGGATGGTTAATAGTTATTTCAAGATCATAAGCAACTTGGAACATTCATTTATTTATTTCAAAAATATTTATTAACTGCCTATAATATGGCAGGCACTGTTCCAGGCATTAGGGGCCTATCAGTAAATAGGCCTGATAAACACCCCAGACCTCACAGAGCTAACATTTCAATTGGGAGATTTGAGGAGGGGAAAATAAGGCTGCTCGAGGTAATTAAAGTGTCATGATATTTCTCCTTGCTTGAAACTCAATGTGACATCTGCTTATCTATTCCCTGACAAAGCAAAAAACATATTGCCTAATAAACAGTTTGCTTTACACACAGATTCCAAGGGTCATGGATGGACGGGCAGGGAACAGAAAATAAGAAGGGATTAAAGGTTAATAAAATGGCAAATGACTAATTTAGTGGTTTTCAGGACAAAGGTTGGTTTTCTGTTTTTGTTTTTAGGTCCCGTGGGTAGAACCTGCAGCAGGCTAGGTGACTGATGGACCTCTGTAGCCTTTACAGAAAAACCATTCTCCTTGCTCAGGCCATAGGACGAGAGTCAACAAAAAGGCCTGAACATACTGGTGTCAGGCTGGAATCTGCATTAGAAATAGGGCACAGCTCCTGGCCTGTGGCCCTGAGGCTTTATAACATGGCGATTAACAACAAGTCAAAATCCTGGCTCTACTCCTTACTAGCTGTGTGACCCTGGACAAATTAGTTAACCTCTCTGGGCCTCAGTTTTCCCCATAGCAAACTGGGGGGGTGCCTGCCCTTAAAAGAGTTAAAGAGATAATGAGTATCAATCATTTAGCTTTATAGCACATAAGTGGTCAATAAACAGGCATTATTTCTACTTCTGAGGGACCACAGGAAGCCCATCAGCTGTCTTTTCCACTCAGTCAGGAAGCTGAACCTTTTTTGCTTTGGCCTTCAGACTGATAAAGGACTCAGTGCACCATTTACAGACCCTGACGCAATCCGGAGCTGACCAGCACGAGGCCTGGAACCAGACCACTGTCATACACCTCCAGGCTGCTAAGGTGAGCGCCCACCAGCTGAAGCTGAAAGGGATCGTTTTGTTTCCCAGGCAGGCTACCCTGCTGGGAAAATCCGGGCTCTGCCACTATTCCCCAACTCCGCCTCAGCGGCTGCTGCCCTCATTTCACTTCCAAGGCTTTAGTCCAGGGTATTTTAATTAAAGGACTTAACTCCAAAGCAATCTTGCTGGCAGCTCTTAGGGGAAAAGGTAATGAGGCAGTGTTATTGGATTTGCTTCAGGTTGTTCAAATATTTCCTCCCAGATAGAAAAGCAGGTCAAGTCTCCCCTTAGCCCCACAGGCAATCCTTGGATGTCTGATTCAATTTCTACTTGTTTTGTGTTTGTGCATAATTCATAGTCAGTCGGCAAATATTTGAGCACCCACTCTGCACTGGGCACTGAGGTGGGTGCTCAACAGTGAAGCCACTGCCCATGCACAGCTACAATCAAGGAAGCACCATGACATGGCAATACAGGCTGCTACGGAATCCCAGAGCAGGCACATTTCTGCCCACCTGGAGGAGTCAGAAAGGCTTCCCAAAAGAAGCGGCAACTTCAAGGATAAGCTGAAATTAGCCAGCTAAAGGGTGGGGTGGCAGCTTTGGAGAGAAAAGTTTCCAGGCAAAGGGAGCTGCGCGTGCAAAAGGAGTCAGCAAGAAGAATCCTGGTGTGCTTGGGAGGAAGTGCAAATCTCTCAAGGAGGACCTAAGGAGGAGGACTGAGACAAGGGGAGAAGGGGAGACAGGCAAGGCCTCTGACCTTTTGCACCACTGTGAAAAGTTGGGGTTTTGTTTTCATTGCAATGCCTTTGCTGAGTTTGTTTGGAGGTGGAGTAAAGTGATCAGTTTCATTCTAGAAGAATCATGCAGGTTGCCCGGGGTGGAATGAAAGGGAGCAAGTTAGAAAGGAGTAAGTCTGGGCCAAGACGGAGGGTGGTCCTGACCACGAGCATGGCAGAAGGCCTGGAGACAAGTGGGGAGATCAGAGATACTAAGGGGGAAGAAGGCAGCGACAAGCCTCAGAGTGCTGGGGTGGGAAAGAGGTAAGAACAACTCCTGAGTTCTAGCTTAGGCAGCTGGGACTCTGGCACTGCCAATAACTGGAAAACTAAAGTGATCACACCAATGCTCAGGCCTCAGACCCAGAAAATGGCAGCCTTGGAACAGGAGAGCCCTGAAGGGCTGCAGAGGCCCTCGTGGGACAGGGTTGGTGGGGCAGGCTGGACGTTGAGTACCACCACGTGACCCACCACCTCCACCACACCGCCGGTTCTAGGATTACCTCTGCAGCCCTCAGTTCTGTTCAGCCTACAGCAGGGGCACCCCCTGCTGTGCTAACTGTCCTGTCAACACAGAGGGTGAGCCAAGGCTTCCTGCTTTCACTGGATCACCAAAACAGGAACCACAGCTGCCCATTATCCACTCATCCATTTTCCAAACCTATGGCCTGCCTTCAAATGGACCAGATGCTGCTTGCCAGGGTTACTTCATTTAATCCACACAGCCCTGGGAGGGAGACTGACATTATCTCCACTTCAAGAGTAAGGAAAGAGAACTCAGGAGTTAGGTCCCAGAGGTAGAAAATAGCTGAGTCCAGATGCTTTCCCTTCCCACACCACCAAGGGTGTGATGAGTGACTGAGGTGAGCAACAAACTCTGGGGGGATGGAGGGTGATAGCCAGCCAGCCTGTGAGGGAAGAACACGTCCCTGACAGCTTCCTGGGGAGGTGGTGCCCCAGCTGAGTCTCCAAGGTCATAATGGATAGGGCTTTCTGTACTCTCTGTGCTTTGCGGGGTTATTTAGTCTACAGAAAGCTTCAGCACCCAACTGGGCCCCATCCGGAAACCATAAATGTGCAGGTAGAGATAACTGCAACTTGGGGGAAGCGGGGATGATACTGACAGAAGAGTAGACAAGGGGGAGCCATGGGCTAAATTCTGGTCCCAGCTCTGTGTGACCTCAAGCAGCCCCTTCCTTCTCTGGGCTTTAACTTCCCTGTCTGTAGACAAAGGGGCATGGGAGAGCCCTTTAGGCTCTGTCAGGCTCTGGTCCGATAATGCAGACTCTGACCAGAAGAGATGTCAGTCTCCAGGACCACTGCAACAAATGCTGGCCTCATTATAATCCAGCCTCAGTCTCCTGTGGCTTTGGCCACACAGGGTTAGGAATACAGCCCTGGTGTGGATCTCACTGCTACCACTTCCTAGCCATGACCTTGGGGAAGAAACTTAATATTTCAGAGCCTCAGTCTCTTCATCTGCAAGATAGAGCTAATAACAGTACCTACTTTGTAGGACTCTGATAAAGATTAAATGAGTAAAACTTAAAGAGAGGCAGCTAGCACATAAGTGCATATATCCCACCCCCACCCCCAAATTAGACAGGAGGCAAGATTTAAACCAACACACACAATGTAAATAATGTTCACTGTGCTCAGAGCATGGGACCAAAGTTCGGCTCAGCCCTTCCCCAAAGCGTAGAGGTCACCTCTGTCTCTGATCCTCATCCTGCTTTTTAAGGCAGAGGCCCAGGCCGTTGGGCAGCTCTCCATCACTCCACTCCTCAACTGAGAGCCTTAAGCATTTGAGGATGCAGCTCTCAGATTAGGACAGGAAAAGGAGTGTGGGTCTGCAGTTCTGCCAAGCTGGACCCAGTCTGAGCAACAAAGGCTACTGGAGCCCCAGAGGCAACACAGCACATCTGCTGACCTTCCACAGCCAAATGCTGCAAGTCCAGCATGGCTGTGAGCACACCATGTCTGAATGGCAAAGTGGAGTTGTCAGCACCCGTGTGAGGGCCTCCTAGGAAACACAGGTTCTTTCCAAGTGAGAAAATGGATCGGGTCACTGCGCAGCTAAAGACTCCCAGTCCCACAGAACAAATTCCGACCATGTTCTTCACAGCCCTTCACTGACCTGAGCCCCAGGTATGAGTCCACCCTAACCTCCATGGTTCCCCATCATCACCTCATTATACCACCACACTTCAGCCTCATTAAATTGCCTGCAGCTTCCTGAATGTACAACTATTTGCACATAAGGTTCTCCCTACCTGGAATGACCTTTCCCCCAACTCAGGTCCCACTGGGTGAATTCTTTTGAACCCCCAATGACATTCTTTTTTTTTTTTTTTTTTTTTGAGATGGAGTCTCGCCTCTGCCCCAGGCTGGAGGGCAATGGCCGATCTCAGCTCACTGCAAGCTCCACCTCCCAGGTACGCACATTCTCCTGCCTCAGCCTCCAAGTAGCTGCGGACTACAGGCGCCCGCCACCTCACCCGGCTAGTTTTTTGTATTTTTTAGTACAGACGGGGGTTTCACCGTGTTAGCCAGGATGGTCTCGATCTCCTGACCTCGTGATCCACCCGTCTCGGCCTCCCAAAGTGCTGGGATTACAGGCTTGAGCCACTACGCCCGGCCGACATTCTTTTTTTTTAAGATAGAATCTCACCCTCACCACGGCTGTGAGTTCAGTGGCACGTCTCTCAGCTCAGCTGCAAAACTCCACCTCCCCAGGTTCCAAGTCGGATTCTGTCGCCTCACTCTCCCAAAGTAGGAGAAATAACAGGGCTTGTGCAACCACCGACACTGGGCTAATTTATTGTATTTTTTGTAGATGACAGGGTTTCACCATGTTGACCAGGCTAGTCTCAAACTCCTGACCCACAAGATCCGCCCACCTCAGTTTTCCAAGTGGCTAGGATTACAGGTGTGAGCCACCACACCCAGCAAACCCCCAAGACACTCTAAATTTGCTATCTGAAATCACTACAGCAGCATGGGCATCACAGGGGACCTTGTTAGAAATGCAGTCTCAGGCTTGCCCGGATCTGCATTTTGAAACAAAGGATCCCTCCAGTGATCTGGTGTGCACATAAAAAACTGAGAGCGGCCAGGCCAGAGGCTCTGCCCCTGTAATCCCAGCACTTTGGGAAGCCAAGGCAAGGAGGATCACTTGAGCTCAGGAGTGGGCAACATGCCAAGACGCCTCATCTCTACTAAAAATACAAAAAAAAAAAAAACAGCATGGTGATGTGCACCTGTCGGTCCCAACTACTGGGAGAGCTGAGGCAGCGAGGATCACTTGGGCCCAGTGGGACCACAGGTTGCAGTGAGGCAGATCGCCAACACTGCACTTCAGCCTGGGGTGACAGAGTGAGATTGTATCTCAAAAAAAAAAAAAAAAATTGAGAAGCACTGCTTTATACTTTCTGTCTTCCTCACTCTCCCTAATAGAACTCATATATCCTACCTGACGAAATAATTATGTGTGCTTGTCTTGATGAGATGGGGTCTGTTCAAAATATGTTACAACCAGTAGGACAAGGCACTAACCAATCAAAATGGACTTCAGCCCTAGGGTAAGCAAGGTCCTGAAGGCCTCCTGCTGGGTCAAGCATTAATCCTTTAGTTACTGGGCTGTGGAGAGAAGGAGGGGGTCTTCGGGATGGAGTCCATCTGGCAGGAGGGGCTCTCACAGGGTTGATGGCAGTGGACACTTGCCAGCTGGTATTAAAGTATTATTTTAACAACTGCCATAGCCAGACCATTACATATGAGCTAAATAACAGCACTGCTTACCTTAAGGAGTTTATACTCTAGCTGGGATATATCTTGAACCATTATTTTCTCACCCCATGGTGTACACATGTGTGCGTGCACACACACACACACACACACCCCACTGACTTGAACACTGCAGACAACAAATAGCTTTTTTTTTTTTTTTTTTTGAGATGGAGTTTCACTCTTATTGCCCAGGCTAGAGTGCAATGGCATGATTTTGGTTCACTGCAACCTCCGCCTCCTGGGTTCAAGTGATTCTCCTGCCTCAGCCTCCCAAGTAGCTGGGATTACAGGCATGCACCACCATGCTTGGCTAATTTTTGCATTTTTAGTAGAGACAGGGTTTTGCCATGTTGGTCAGACTGGTCTCAAACTCCTGACCTCAGGTGATCCACCCACCTTGGCCTCCCAAAGTGCTGGGATTACAGGCGTGAGCCACCACACCCAGCCTTAAAATAGCTATTTTCTTAAGAACAGTGGTGCTGTCCTCTACCTTCCCCAGGCCAGCCTCCAATGTGCTTTCTCCAATATTCTTTCTCTCCACTTTCCAACCTACTTGAAACTGCTCCAAGCAAAAGAAAACAAGGGCCATGTTTCAAAAGCCCACCAGTCCCCAACACACACACACACACACACACACACACACACACACACACACGATATCAAAAAGCCTTGATCAGACCCAGAGTGAGCTAGAAGAAAAGTCAGCCTGCTGGGAAGCACATCCTGCCTCAAGTTTATTCCAGCCATCTTGCCAAGCTTCCAGGATGACTTCTGGAGTAGAAAACCAGAAACCAGGAGAACATATCTTTGTGTCTTTGTAGGCGCACTGCTACTATGTCACTGTGAAGGGTTTTACAGAAGCTCTGGAGAAACTAGAAAATGAATCAGCGATTCAGCAGGTGCTCAAGCGCCTCTGTGACCTCCATGCCATACACGGAATCTTGACTAACTCAGGTGACTTTCTCCATGATGCTTTCCTGTCTGGTGCCCAAGTGGACATGGCAAGAACAGCCTACCTGGACCTGCTCCGCCTGATCCGGTGAGTGGCACAGCCTTCAAACCATGTTAGCCTTCAGAGAATAACCCTACCCCCTTGTTCACAGGTCACTTCCAACTCCAAAACCTTGCTAATGGACAGAGCAGCAACAGCCCTGGAGAGGTTTACACCCTATTATCATTACACCAGCACAAAGCATTATGAATTAATGAAAGAAAAAAATGGGAAAAACACTTAAGAATAAATGAGCTGCCTCAGTTGAACTCTTCACATTGTCAAGGAAATAGGAATAGTATCTAAGGAAAATGAATAAAATGAAGTATGCTACACATGAATGATACGTTGCTAATGTGCTAATAATAGTCTCAAACATAGCTAACTTTTTTTCTTTTTTTTTTTTTTGAGACGGGGTCTTGCTGTGTCGCCCAGGCTAAAGTACAGTAGTACAATCTCATCTCACTGCAACCTCTGCCTCTGGGTTCAAGTGATTCTCCTGCTTCAGCCTCCCAAGTAGCTGGGATTACAGGTGCCCGCCATCATGCCCAGCTAATTTTTGTATTTTTAGTAGAGATGGGGTTTCATCACATTGACCAGGCTGGTCTCGAACTCCTGACCTCAAGTGATCCACGTGCCTTGGCCTCCCAAAGTGCTGGGATTACAGGTGTGATCCAACGTGCCCAGGCATAGCTAACCTTTAAAGAGCACTTATGTGACAGGCCCTGTGCCAAAGGCTTCTACATACATCTCATTTAATCCTTATAGCCCTTTGAAATGGGTACTATTAATCTCCTCATTTTATTGGAAAGGAAATTCAGGCTGATGGGAGTTGCCCAGTGTCAATCAGCCAGAGGAGGCGCCGGGTACAATCTCAGGTCTGGCCCCTGGGCATGAGCTCTTCACCTGTATGTTAAGGTTAAGGTTGAGGCATTATATACTTCAAACACATCCTTGTCTTTGTTAAATGTGCTTCAGCAAATTCTTACCAAGTTTAGTAAACTTACCTTAATCCTCCCTCAGCTTCAAGATGAAAATTTTTTTAACTCTGTAATTCATATATTCATTTATAAAATAATAACACAAAGTTTTTAAATGCAGCATTAATGCAGGGTCAATGAAATACTAATGCAGTGCTTTCACACTGTTATTCTATAATCTAAACAATTGCTTTAAAAACATATCAAAACCAAAGCCCAACCTGATCAGAGTCCTAGAAAAAAATAGAAATAAAAACAATAAAGAAAAAAAAGGCTGGGCAACATGGCAAAAGCCCACTTCTACAAAAAATACAAAAAATGAATTGGGCACACACCTGTAGTCCCAGCTACTCGGGAGGCTGAGGTAGGAGGATTGATTGATCCCAGGAGGTTAAGGTTGCAGTGAGCTATGATTGCATCACTGCACTCCAGCCTAGGCAAGAAAGTGAGACCTTGTCTCAAAAAAAGCAAAGAAAAGAAAACATTCCAAATTATTTACCATTGTCCATAAGGTTAAAAAAAATGGACTAATTTGAGAATATAATCTTTTCGAGACCTCACTGGGCAGAAAATATGATGCCTATTGCATAGGGTTAGAGGTGACTCCTAGAATCTCCAACAATTCTCATATCAACAAGACTGACAAAAAGAAAAAAAGAGGCTGGGAGCAGTGGCTCACACGTGTAATCCCGGCACTTTGGGAGGCCAAGGTGGGAGGATTACTTGAGGCAGAGTTTAAGACTAGCTTGGGCAACATAGTAAGACCCTGTCTCTAAAATTAAATATATGTATTTATTTAATATAAATATAAATATATATTCACATAATATATAATATATATATAAATATATATATATTAGGCATGGTGGCTAACACCTGTAATGCCAGCACTTTGGGAGGCCAAGGTGGGTGGATCACCTGAGGTCAGGAGTTCGAGGCCAGCCTGGCCAACATGGTAAAACCCTGTCTCTACTAAAAATGCAAAAAATTAGCTCAGTGTGGTGGCGGGCACCTGTAATCCTAACGACTCGGGAGGCTGAAGCAGGAGAATCGCTTGAACCCAGGAGGCGGAGGTTGCAGTGAGCCAAGATCGCACCACTGCACTACAGCCTTGGCGACAAGAGTGAGACTCCGTCTCAAGAAAAAAAAAAAAAGTTCAGTTAAATCATCAAAAACTGTCAAAAATACATTTGACACAATTATGTCCCAGGTATTAAACTTTCCCTAATACAGGGAATCCAGTGGTGAAAACTATTAAGAGCATAATTAAGTACTGCACAGTTCAAGCCCAAGGGTGTCTATCTGTCTGAAACCCTCAGAATTTAAAAGCACTTGAAAATAATTGTTCTAGCCCCGGTTGTCGGTGATGATAAAATACAAAAGATCACCTTAACACCCTGTAAGCATGTTTTTTAAATTTGCAAACAGCATTTCTAAGTGCTTGCCTTGGCTCCAGCAACTTACAATTCAAGACAAGACAGACAGCCCTGATGCAAGCTGCCAACTTACTCATGCATCAAACCCAGAAATTGATTTACTTCCATGATGGTTCCTAAGTAGCCTTACTACTGCAGGGTAATTCGGCACATAACAGATTCTATGCATATCACTGTTTGGTGTCACAGTTCCCTGCCTTGATTAGTCACTAGCTCCCTAAGATTTCTGAGACGAAAACTGAAGGGCGGCAAAGTATGCTAAGGATGCCAAGAACAAGCTCTCTGTAATGTTAACTGACCCAAACAGTCTTTAGTTGTTTAAGCGGTCATAAAACCTCAGTTGGGGGTACTTCTAGGTAAAGATGACAGATTAAACATATGCATTTACTCTTATTCTTTCCTGAAATCCTACTAAAACATCAGTGAATGGACTGAAATTTTTTTAAAGGCATAAACCCACAAAGAGAAAGAGATGTTGTCTCTATGTTGTCCAGACTGGTCTTGAACTCCTGGGCTCAAGGGATTCTCCTACCTCAGCCTCCCAAAGTGCTGGGATTACATGCATGAGCTAACACACCTAGCCTCTGTGAGTAATTTTAAGACTTTCCTTGACTCTGCCCTGGCAGAAGGGTCAATAGAGGGTCTGTGGACTAGGGAGCATCAAGTATAGTTGATAATAAGGCTACCCTTCAGAAAACAGGGTTCTTTATAGGCCAAATGTGGACACCTCCCTCCCCCAGACCTTTTTTCCCACTGGTTCCTAAAAAACTGGCAGCCAGACTAGTACCCTGCAAGAAGATAATAAGATGATCCTTCTCTGGAGAATTTGGCCAGCCCAAGGAGAAGGAGCTAAAGACACTGACATCAGAGTTCCCCAGTGGTCCACCCACTTCACTCCATAGTGAACCCCACATTAGCAAGCATAGCCACAGGTTTGTAATCAGCTAGTTAATGCCTTGCTCTTAGCTATGATCAGACACTCAGGGATCAATAAACACCTGAAGAATGCCCCTAACATAAAAGATGGAGACTAAAACAAGCAAGAACAAGGCAATTCAGAGGACATAAGAGGATCCACAGGGAGAATAAAACTTAAAAAAAAAAAAAAACAGTGATAGAGAAAGTATTGCAACCACAAAATAAAAAAAAAAACCTGAATGCCATTATTTAAAACTAATATTCAGAGAACCTTAAAAAAGAGCTCCTCGAAATTAAAAAATGATAGTGGAAATGAAAACTCAATGTAAGGACTGGGAGATAAGGTTGCAGAAATCTCACAGCAAGAAAGCAAAAAGACAAAAAAAAGGAGGACTTTTAAAAAGTAAGAGGACCAGTCTTAGCTGTTCATCATCTGAAGAATAGGTCTAGAAAGAAGACAGAAAACAGAAGGAAGCGAATCATTAATAAAATAATTCAAGAAAACATTCCTCAAGTGAAGGATATGAGTTTCAGATGAAAAAGGGTCACAGATGCCTACACACTAGAGGAGAGGAGACAGGCACACACATGCACAAAATAAGTCACACTGTATACCATGTGAAATGATAATAGCTACGATGAAGGAAACGATAGTAGGAAGTGGGGGAAAGAATGCCGGGGGTCAGTAGGGAGGATGGGGAGCTACAATTTTAAGTAGGCCAGAGAAGACCTCCCTGGGAGGGTGACATTTAAGGAAAGACCTGGGAGAAGGTAGGGAGAAGCTGTTGTAGCTGCTAGGGAAAGAACATTACATGGCCGGGCGCGGTGGCTCAAGCCTGTAATCCCAGCACTTTGGAGGCCGAGACGGGCGGATCACGAGGTCAGGAGATCGAGACCATCCTGGCTAACACGGTGAAACCCCGTCTCTACTAAAAAATACAAAAAACTAGCCGGGCGAGGTGGCAGGCACCTGTAGTCCCAGCTACTTGGGAGGCTGAGGCAGGAGAATGGCGTGAACCCGGGAGGCAGAGCTTGCAGTGAGCCAAGATCCAGCCACTGCACTCCAGCCTGGGCAACAGAGCAAGACTCCGTCTAAAAAAAAAAAAAAAACATTACAGGCAGAACATAAGTACAGCCATGCATCACTTAATGACGGGAGGATCCGTTCTGAGAAATGTGTCTTCAGATGAGTCTGTCATCATGTGAACATCACAGAGTGTACTTACACAAGCCTAAATGGTATAGCCTATTGCTCGTAGGCTCACACTGCAAAGCACGGTGCTGTACTGAATACTGTAGGCAATTCTAATGTAAGTCATGAAGCAATAGGAATTTTTCAGCTTTATCATAATGTCATGGGACCACCATGATATACATGGTCCATCATTGACCAAAACATCATTATGCAGTGCATGATGGTACAAATGTTGGAGACCAGAGTGTGCTTGGCATATCCATCCACACAGAAGAGGCCACAGGGGCAGGAAGGGCATGACTGCAGTGGAAAATGAGGGCAGAGGTCAGAGAGTTAAGGGAGTACAGCAGGGGGTGGGAACAGAGAGTAAGGTAGATCATTGCAAAGACTTAAGAGAATGCGAAGGTTTTGAGCACTGGATAGAATGGGAGGGTTTTGAGCATTGGATAGACACAACCTGAAAGAATCTGATGTATATTTTTAAAGGCTCACTCCAGCTGCTATATTAAGAACTAAGAGCGAAAAGCAGGGAGATCAGCTGGATGGCTCATGCAATCATCCAAGTGAGGGATGATAGTGGATTGGAGCAGTGATAGTGCTGGAAGTGGTGGGAAGTGGTTGAAGTTTGAATGTATCTTGAAGGCAGAACAGGATTTGCTGACAGATTAGATGTACGGTAAGAAAGAAAAGAAGAATCAAGGTTTTTGGTCAGAAGGACAGAGCTGCTATTTACCATAAATGGGGAAGACTACAGGAGGGCCAGGTGGCAGGGTGGACAGGAAAGAGCTAGCAGCCCAGGAGTTTGGGTTCAGACACATTACCTTTGAAGAGCCTGTCAGAAATCCAAGTACAGATGTTGGTTAGCAGGGGACACTGGAGGAATAAATTTGGAAGTCATTGGCATATGGTTGATATTTAAAGCCATGAGAAGAATATCACAAGGAGTGCATGAAGAGAAAAGGCCCAAGTACTGAGTCTTGAGACCCTCGAAAGATAGTAAGGAAGTAACCGCGGCAAAAGCTATTTCTGTGGAATGGTGGGAGTAAAAACATGAATAGATCCAGTTCAGGAGAGAATGTGAAAATTGGAAATCATAAGCATAAACACGCGTAACGCTTTCAGAGAGTTTTGTCCTAAAGGGGGGCCAAGATGATGGAGTAGGAAATAGAGTCAAAAGCTTGTGTTTAAGATGGGAGAAATGACTGTTTGTATACTGATGGAAATGATCCAGTACAGAGGGGATTTTTTTTTCCTTGTACCTTTCTTTGAACTTGATCTTGGCTTCCCATTAGGCCTTGTGTTTAAGAGCAAGTTCTTTGAAGAGATCCTTGTTGATGATAGTTTGTCCGAGAGCATATCCACAGAGTACCTTGTGGGCATGAGGTGATTGTAGTTATAAGCTTTTGCAAAAGACTTAATCCTTGACCTCTTGGAGATCTTCTTGCCTATGGCAGCTGTCACTTTGTGAGGATAGCAGTTAATTCCAGCTACCAAAGCATGATTGTAAGAATGGACCTAGGTGCCATCATCAGTGTTCTTCATGATGATGGCTTTGTGTCCAGAGTAGCATCCAGCCAGGACCAGCACCACATTCCCAGGTTTCATGAACTTGCCCATTTTGACAGCAACCAGCCAGGCCTACAGTAAAAAGAAAGAAGGGCATTTCCACTAACCTTTTACCCCTGAGAGGGGAATTTTGATATTGTAGGGGAAAGGCAGGAGAATTTTGTTTCTCCAGTAGGCAAGAGGAAAAGACCTCTAGTAGACAAGGAGGGACTGAGGCCTGAGCTTACAGCCTGAAGAGAGAAGGCATTGTATGTATAAATGCAAGGGTGGGAACTTATACAGATTCTCTTACTGCTTCCACTTCATCAGTGAGATATGATGTAAAGCCATCCAGGCAAGAATGATGGGAAAGGTGGATAGTGTCAATCTGAGGATCAAAGAGATGGTATGAAATAACTACCTAAGAAAAGGAAAGAGTAAATGAACAATGAGTAAATGCAGCAATGTAATACGATTGCTGAGCTGCAATTAGGGCCCACTTGAGCCATTATTACACCAGTTATGATTGTTTTTTCCAGTCCTGTATAGCTACAAAGGTGGTAGCACAAAGTGGGTGGAAAATTAAAGACAAAGAGGTATGCATTTTGCTAAACAGGTATGACAAAGCAAGAAAAACTGTTGAGAGAGTGTGTGTGTGTGTGTGTGAGAGTGTGTGTGTGTGTGTGTGTGTGTGTGTATTTTTTTAGAGAGAGTCTTGCTCTGTTGCCCAAGCTGGAGTGCAGTGGCACAATCTCAGCTCACTGCAACCTCTGCCTCCCGGGTTCAAGCAGTTCTCCCACCTCAGCCTTCCCGGAAGCTGAGACTACAGGCACACACCACCACGCCTGGCTAATTTTTGTATTTTTAGTACAGACAGGGTTCTGCCATTTTGGCCAGCTGGTCTCGAACTCCTGACCTCAGCCGATCCATCTGCCTCAGTCTCCCAAAATGCTGGGACTACAGGCGTGAGCCATCACACCTGGCCTGTTGAATATATTTTTGAGAGAGTAATAGGGCATGGAATTTCAGGTGGATAAGGAATGAAGTGAGTCCACAAGGCGGCAAGGGGGACATTAAATTGGTGGTAGGGCTCATATGATGTTGGGGATCATCAAGAAAGGATTACACTGGATACAGTATCCCAGTTACCTCCAATGCTTTAATGATGCACAGTCATCGTGATGTCAATACTAAATACTGGTCTGGCCAAAATTATAACTATATTGGGAGGCCTGATGGCCAGGAGGAGGAAGAATGGGAACAGGGGGAGGTAGGAGGGAAGAGAGGGGTGATAAATATAAATCTTTACCTTTTGAATGAAGAATCAACAGATAATATCTTAAACTGAACCATGAACAAGCAGCAATATAAACAAGATATTTTGACATTTGGATAAATACGGAAATATCAGCTAAAAGACTGAAATTGTCGGCCGGGCATGGTGGCTCACACTTGTAATCTCAGCACTTTGGGAGGTCGAGGTGGGCAGATCACCTGAGGTCAGGAGTTCGAGATCAGCCTGGCCAACATGGTAAAACCCCATCTCTATTAAAAATACAAAATTTAGCCAGGCATGGTGGTAGGCGCCTGTAATCCCAACTACTCGGGAGGCTAAGGCAGGAGAATGGCTCAAGCCTGGGTGGTGGAGGTTGCAGTAAGCCGAGATTGCGCCATTGCAGTCCAGCCTGGGCGACTGAGCGAGACTATCTCAAAAAAAAAAAAAAAAAAGATGGAAATTGCTTCTGAGGAGAAAGAAGTGGAAATCAGGCAGGAATATGCTGGTTATTTATTTATTTATTTTGGGACAGGAGTCTCGCTCTGTCGCCCAGGCTGGAGTGCAGTGGCATGATCTCCACTCACTGCAACCTCCGCCTCCTGGGTTCAAGTGATTCTCCTGCCTCAGCCTCCTGAGTAGCTGGGACTACAGGCACGTGCCACTACGCCTGGCTAATTTTTTGTATTTTTAGTAGAGACGGGGTTTCACCATGTTAGCCAGGATGGTCTCGATCTCCTGACCTCATGATCCGCCTGCTTCAGCCTCCCATAGTGCTGGGATTACAGGCATGAGCCACCGCGCACGGACGGATATGCTGTTTTTTAAACAAGCCTTAAGGAACTCTTTGACTCATTCATTATACTATGCATATATAACTGATTAAAAAAAAAAAAAAAAAAAAAAAAAAAAAAAAAAAAGCTGAATTGTTTGAAAAGCAAATAATCATGCAACCTCTAATTAGGTATTGTTATTCACCATCCAAGACTAGTTTGATTCATAAGAGCAATCTAAAATACTTACAAACTCTTGTTTCCTATCCCAGGAAGGATGCCATCCTGTTAACTGATGCTTTTGACTTCACCGATGAGTGTTTAAATTCAGCACTTGGCTGTTATGATGGAAATGTTTATGAACGCCTGTTCCAGTGGGCTCAGAAGTCACCAACCAATACTCAGGTAGTTGAGTGGAACACATTATAAATTATGTAAGAAAGCAGAGAACAGGCAGTGAATACACCTGCATGTTCTCCTATTTTAACTGATTCCCATTAGGTTGGCAATCACTTGGCGTAGCATGTCTGTTTAAAATATTTTTAGAGGCCGGGCGCGGTGGCTCACGCCTGTAATCCCAGCACTTTAGGAGGCCGAGGCGGGCGGATCACGAGGTCAGGAGATCAAGACCATCCTGGCCAACACGGTGAAACCCTGTCTCTACTAAAAATACAAAAAACAAAAATATGAGCCGGGCGTGGTGACGAGCGCCTGTAGTCCAGCTACTCGGGAGGCTGAGGCAGGAGAATGGCGTGAACCCGGGAGGCAGAGCTTGCAGTAAGCCGAGATCGTGCCATTGCACTCCAGCCTGGGTGACACAGCAAGACTCCGTCTCAAAAAATAAAATAAAAAATAAAATATTTTTAGAGAACACACAAAAGAAACCAGGAGTGGCAGTATGGCGTGGCAGGAACTCTGAGCCTGGATTGTAATCAGCAAAATGCACTGCTTGGAACTTAGTAAAGGGAATTAAGAGGAAGGCCCAAGCTCTAAATCATGGCTTGACAGACCCAAGGGCATACACACAGAGTGGTAAACTGGCTTTTAAGTAACAAAAAGAAGGAGATAAATCACTGCAGTGATTTAACCACCTTATTTTCAGCCTTTTAACTTTCAGTTTTGTGTAGATAAAAGTGGGTATTCGGAAGTGGTAGGAAGCTTGAGGGATGTCTCTCTCAGACCTGATTGCCTGCTAGAGATGATACCCTCTCCTCTTCACTCTAAGGAATACAATCCAAGGAGCAAAGAGAGCTGCTGCACTGCCATCAGTAGCCCAGGAAAGCCATATAAGTGACAATTACAAGGGTCATGAAAAAAAATCCCCAGCCATCCTAGGAGAGCACACCAGAACTCTACATCATTAACAGTGAGAAGACGGGGAGGACTCATAAGGTCCCAACACTCTAGGGCCAGGGTATGCTCACAGCTCTCTGCTTATGAGCCTGTTTGAGAAAAGTTGTAAATGTCAGTGAATATGTTAACAGGAGTGAGGAAATAAACCCTGTGGTTAGAATATGAGGAACCAGTATTTAATAGCAGATTTTACATAAATGATCAAAACAAAAAGTCGATAGGTACACAACAGATTATTTTAAATTTTATAGTGCCAATACATTATTCAGGTGGTGAAGCTTTCTTTTTTACCTCTTTGATCCAATTTCAGAAAAGGTGTCTTAACACCACATCAAATTGGCAACTCTCAGGCTTTCATTCACACCTAGCATGGTGTTAGACTTGTTCTTAACAATTTGCAGCCTGTCATACCACATGGCTTAATTTAACATGACTATCTAAAGTTACAACACAACTAACCCATCTTGGTCACTCCCTGTCCCCAGAAAGATATCCTTTTAACTCAAGGAAACATAAACAATATATGTTCGCTACTTTAGTACAGTTAACCTACTTCCAGTGTGTTTTTTCTAATGATTAGATCTCTCTACTTTCTAACATTTAAATCTTGGCATAAAAATACAGCAGTCCTCCCACTCCACACTAGCTCCCATGGTCTAAAGATAAATGTATGCCCTTTGGGGCTCCAGAGAAAAACCTGCCCTGCTATAACACCTGTCAGAAATGCTGACATACATAGCTCAAACCTGTTTTACTGGCAACACAGGAAACATTCTGGTTTCTCTGGAGAGAATGGAGGGGGCTTTCTTGTGTTTTAGTTTGGTTTTAATATTTATTTTAAAAGACTTTAATCTGGATACTACACGAGAACATGTTTATCTAAACAAGAGGAATGACTGACCCAGAGGCTCAACACATTTGGGAAAACATTGATGCACTTCATCCCATTCACTTCTATCTCCTTCCACTTGACTGTGAACAACAAAGGAGTCTTCACCTTCCCAGCTCCAGGATCTATCACGGAGTAGACACTCCACGTTTATGAAATAAATGAACATGGTTTTACAACCTACGTAGTGAGATGAAGGAATCTGCTGCATACACAGTGCCACAGACTCTTGTCATCCTAGCTTATATTACCTTCCTAAAAAGGTGACAGGTATAGCACTGTGGATCTTTCACGTATGATAATTTGGGAATGTGAAGTTACAAATGACCTTTGTGAACTGTTTCCAGTCAGTTAAAATGACATGAGGCTGCCTGCTAACGTACATGATCTTACATTTCTGGCTCCTTTTAGAGATCACCAAAATAGCACTTTTAAAGTGTATTTTTTAATCTGCTGTGGATAATTTTTTAATCCTACTCTTAAAATATGCTATAATTTTGAAGCTGCAATAAGAGACATTTTCCTCATTTGCACTAATAGAAAAAGGCACACTGCAGATATTTTATGTATTTTTATTTATTATTATTATTTTTTGAGACGGAGTCTCGCTCTGTCACCCTGGCTGAAGTGCAGTGGCACAATCGCGGCTCACTGCAACCCTCCGCCTCCCAGGTTCAAGCAATTCTCGTGCCTCCCAAGTAGCTGGGATTACAGGCACACACCACCACACCCAACTAATTTTGTATTTTGTATTAGTAGAGACAGGGTTTCACCACGTTGGCTAGGCTGGTCTCAGCCTCCCAAAGTGCTGGGATTATAGGTGTGAGCCACCACGCCTGGCAGATATTTTAAATAAAAGAGCAGCTATGTTGAAACACGCCCTGTAGACATGAAAGTATAAACAAGAATATATTTCACTGACATTTTTCTACCAAAAGAAAAGTGCTATGCTAAGGTAAACATCTTAGAATCATAGGAGAAGCTCTCTTCTGTCTGGGGCAGTGTTGAGCTTTATCCCTGGATAGGATGATGTGCTTTCTTGGTTTAAGGGAGGAATCGTTGGGGAAAATTTAAAAACAAAAATCCTGTTTTTCCCCAATTATTCTATTGTAAAAATCTGTCCAAGTAGGAGTTAGATGCATTAAATACATCTACTGATTCATTCATTCAATAATTCAACAAATATTTACTAAGTACATGCTTTGTGCCAAAAACGATTCCAGATACTGAAGATATACTGGAGAACAAGAGTCATAAACCCAGACTGAGTGCAGTGGCTCAAGCTTGTAATCCCAGCACTTTGGGAGGCTGAGGCAGGTGGATCACTTGAGGTTAAGAGTTTAAGACCAACCTGGCCAACATGGCGAAACCCCGTCTCTATTAAAAATACAAAAATTAGCCAGGTGTGGTGGTGCACACCTGTAATCCGAGGTACTCAGGAGGCTGAGGCACGAGAATCGCTTGAACCCAGGAGGCAGATGTTGCAGTGAGCCAAGATCACACCACTGCACTCCAGCCTGGGCAACAGAGCAATACCCTGTCTCCAACAACAACAAAAAAAGAGTCAAAAGCCCAATGTTTGAGGAACTTACAGTTTTAGTGTAGACAGGCACATACACACAAAGTAAATATTATAAAAGATGAGACTAGAAAGAAAGAATCAAGACACTGAATTACAGCATAAAGATAACCTAGTCGGACCTAGAATACTGCTTATATGATCCCTCTCTGGTTCCTTGCTTTGTGATTAATATTCAGTTTCAGAGAGCCTCAAAGAGTCAAGCCTTTTATTTGTATTAAATTCCAAAAGCAAGTGATAAGCTGTGTTTTTAATTGGCCACCTGCATCCACAATTTAAAATCTGCATGAGAAAAGGAAAGATGCCCTTTGGAAAAAATGTTTCTCCATATGTTCACACAAAATGAGTTTTAGAAATAATTTTTAAAATTAAGAATCTTACGTAATGTTACTTTTTGAAGCTAAAGACTTAATTTGAAAGTAAAAGTCATTAATCCTGGCAGAAATGTACTGTCTTAATAATGCGTTTCTTTCTACAAACAGGAGAACCCTGCCTATGAGGAATATATAAGACCACTATTACAAAGTTGGAGATCCAAGCTATGAAATAACCAACAGTATTCAAGAAGCAACCAGCACCATCATGTGATACTGGTACTATGGCATATATGCAACATTAAAATTTTAAATTAGATATTTATGTTTCAGAGTCATTATCTTTTAAATACAGTCTGAAGTGATATATGTGAAATAATATCTGTGATTTACTTCAAAATAATCCATAGGAGAAAAAAGCCAAAGTGAATAGTTGTTGAAGCTGGTCAATGGGCAGGTACATGGGTGTTCATTACACTATTCTCTCTACTTCTGAATGTGTTTCAAATTTCCGGTGGAAGGGTAGATCATGCCTGTAATCCCAACACATCAGGAGGTCAAGACAAGAGGGTCACTTGAGCCTAGAAGTTCAAGACCAACCTAAGCAACATAGAGAGATGCCATCTCTATGAGAATAACTATAAAAAATTGGCCAGGGGTACATGTCTGTGGTCCCAGCTATTGAGAGGCTTATTGCCTGAGCCCAGAAGGTTGAGGCTGCAGTGAGCCGTGATCACACCACTGCATTTCAACCTGAGCAACAGAGTAAGAATTATCTCAAAAAAGAAAAGAAGTTTCCCACAGTAAAACCGCACCACTGTCCATTTATAGCATCTATTTGGTTAAATACCAGGATTTTGCTTTAGATCTAGCAAAAGCCAACAGGCTCATTAGTTAGTGTGTTTTTAGCACACACTTATCCTTGGGTTTAAAAGGACACACATACATGCACACACACAATCCTCCTAAGTGCTTATACTTGCTGTAATCTAAATAAAATACAGCTCGAAGAATGCAACTATCATTTTTTAAAAATCAACTCTTCCACAGTGAAAATGATTTAAAATTTCATTAAAAGACATAACTGTCTCAAGTTACCCAAATATAATGAAGCTACATTTTTCATATCACTTTCAATTACCCAATTAGACAAAACACTCTAAATGTCACAAGTAAAATGGCAACAAAAAAAAATTCAGCTGGCTACTTTTCCTAATTTACTCATATAAACAATCATTTCATTGTTAATAATTAGTAAATTTGAGAAAATTTACCAAAAGCAAACTTATCTCCAGTAAACAGGACAAAGAAGAGGCCTCATAAGTTTTTAACTTTAAAAAACTTGGGCTGGGCGCAGTGGCTCACACCTGTAATCCCAGCATTTCGGGAGGCCAGGGCAGGTGAATCACCTGAGGTCAGGAGTTCAAAACCAGCCTGGTCAACATGGTGAAACCCCCAACTCTACTAAAAATACAAAAATTAGCCGGGTACGATGGCACACACCTGTAATCCCAGCTACTCAGGAGGCTGAGGCAGGAGAACCGCTTGAACCTGGGAGGCAGAGGTTGCCGTGAGCCAAGATCACGCCATTGCACTCCAGCCTGGGTGACAAGAGTGAGACTCTGTCTCAAAAATAAATAAATAAAAATCATTTAAAAATAAAATAAAAAATAAAAACTGGGAACTAGCATTATTCCTATTTCCACACCTGTTTTCAACCCAAATCATTTTATTTCATATTGACCTCAGCTAGCTCAACAACACGTAACTAACTGGTTGGGCCTTTTTTTTTTTTAAGGTAACTATCAAATCAATTTTAAATACAAGATGATTTTCCAAAATGATAAACTTGTACTCGTATATCGATTTACTGAAACCACAGCAATCTGTCAATAACATCAAAGGATCTTAGTTTGAAGATGGTGAAAACAGGGTAATTATAGGTTTCTGGATGTTGGTCATTTGTCAAATTTTAAAATAAATTTTCAGAGACATGGGCAAAAATAGACATAAGGATGTGCTGTAATCTTCTTTGCAGAGAGAGAACCTTAGAATATTCTCACAGAGAGAAAGAGAAAAGGAGGGGCCTGCTTGCCCCAGGGCACACAGCCTCAGAGTTCCACTCTTCCCTTAGAAAATAGGGAATAAATTACATGACTTCCTTTTATACGGTGGTCTAACAAAGTAGGAAGTCTCAGTATAATTAAAATAATCCTTCCTATGAGTTACTTTCAAGAAATAGAAGCAAATGAACTACGCAAAATAAGACTACAGGGAAATAAATAAAAGTACGTGTATTTCTCCAACTGTTCTAGGTCCTTCATTCACTGCAGTTTGTTTCTTCTCTTCAGAAATAAACTTAACTTTGTTAACAAAATACATTTGTGGATCACCATAAAACATGAGCATAAAGGGCTAGAGTCATTTTGTTCCTGTGCTTAGCAGAAAACTGAAATAATGGTCATAGAACCGTGGGCAATTAAAGAAAAATCTGTAATCTTCAACATAAATTCTTTTGAAAAATATGAAAAACTGTATGTTCACTGTTCAAATATGCACCCTTTTAGTCAAAATTAATAATTCCATCCATCCTTGCTTCAATGACACAACAGTTCTTATAAACTGCAACCTAAGATCCCACTGTGTCCTCTCAAATTAAATACAAATATGCTATAGGCAGTAAACAATGGGACATAAGCAATGCATACTTTAGACAAGGAATATGATTTTTCTCCCCTTAATAATAATCAATAAATACAAACTTAATTTTCATATTTCATTTTTTATTAGTTTTTTTTTTTTTTTCTGGTAGACAGTACACTTGAGAATTATACTGCACCAGGCATAAAGAGTAAGATTTCTACCACAGGGACATTTTGTATTCAGAATTCAATATAAATATTTCTAGTCAGACATTTCCATGGCTACAGATATTTGGTTCCTTGATTTATATGCATAGAAAGAAACAGTTGTCATAACTGTAAAAAGCAGTACTTAATAAGTACTTTTAAATGATTGGAACAGTTTTCCTTTAATATTACAATACTACTTATTTATTGGTTTGGAAACTAGGTCACCCTACATGATGTTTTGATTTTTCTCAAAGGCATCATGAGTACTCTGCTTATTCTTTCATTCTTGTATTTTTAGCCTTCTAGTTGAGTTAGGGACCATTTTATCAGAAATCATTCTAGCACTGTAATAAGAAAAGCTCTGTTAAGGGTAGATTATATACCATAATGATTTTCAGACTTCTTTTTATAAAAAAGGTATCTGGAGACTCTGAACAGGCACATGCATACTCAGGAGGAAGGGAACAAAACACGGAGGAGTGTGCCAAAGCACAAAACTTCCTTCTGGTCCTCACTGCCTTCAAATAAATACAAATACTTAAAAGAAAAAAAAATCTCACACTGTGATTTAAAAAAAAAAAAAAAATCAGTATTTTCCGTGTTTCCAGGAACCTGTGGCAGTGTCGGAGATCAGTCGTCTGTCTTCCGGGCCAGCCTACAGAAGGTCCAGTTGTGCTCCACTGTGTTTTCATTGGCCCGCTCACTCATGTGATGCACCCGGGTGTTGCGGATCGTGAAACCTTGTTTTGTAATGTATTCCATCAGGTGGACCCTAAGAGAAACTTCCTGGTGATAATCACAGGGTCCAAAAGTAAAGGAAACCTGGCAGTCTCTGGTGTCCATCATGTGTTTATTCCACTTGGTAAAATAATTTGAGATGCCTTCTAGTAAGGAATGGACCTTGGTGGTGATGGTTAGTTGGGTTATGATGACAGCCACTGGGTTGGAGTACTTAGAAAGCTTCCGAGTACTAGACAGCTCCACAACTTCTTCAAAAGTATCCATGGGATACAAAGGCTTAGGATCATTGAGACACTGAATCAAGGGCTCAATCTGGTAAAAATCTGCTTCTTTCCGAAGCAGATCAAATTCCTTAAAATCCAACGGTAAGGTCAATTCTGAAGTTCTTAAGAAGTTGAGGACATATCGGAAAAGAGGTCCATCTCGATCAATAAAGTAATTGCCTTGAGGGTCTCGAGCTGTGGGGAAGTCCCCCCCAAACATAGCTCCAAGCATGGAATCCGGGTAACGCGTCAGTGTGGTGAGAGACGTTGTATACAAGTGTCCGCCTACATTTAACGTGACTGGGTCAGTCATCTGAAATTTTTAAAGAAATGATCAGTCACCTGAAATTTTTAAATACCAACTTTGACAAATTAAGAAAGTAAGTGATACTGAGCAAAGCCCAAGATTCTTCCAGGCTATAATGTATTTAGTAATCCTCTAATGAAAAATGACTTTACTACCAGCAATAAACCCACCCAGATGAAGCGATCTAACATTTGCTTTCAATAGAAAAAAAAAAAAGGATAAATCCAATTATGTAAAGACTTACGCTAAGAATCCAGGGCACTGACTTCCAGAGCCACATCATTTCAGGCCCATTATCTACAGAATGTTCAGGTCAGAATATATTGTGAGAAGGGAAAAGCCACGCTAAAATACACTTATTTTTTTCTGATTTTTTTTAAAGGCTTGCATTTTTCTGAACTTAATTTAACATAAGATAGAATTAAAATGATCTGATAATATAGACATTTACTTTCAGTATTTCTTTGGGTTTTTCCCCTTCAAACAAAAGGAATAAACTATGAAATTTGTTTTTAAAATAAAAATTTGGGCTGGGTGCAGTGGCTCATGGCTATAATCCTAGCACTTTGGGAGGCCAGGGCAGGCGGACTGCCTGAGCTCAGGAGTTCAAGACCAGCCTGGGCAACATGGCAAAACCCCATCTCTATTAAAAATACAAAAAAAAAAAAAAAAATTAGCTGAGCGTGGTAGTGCCTGAGTAGTCCTAGCTACTTGGGAGGCTGAGGTATGAGAATCACTTGAAACTGGGAGGCGGAGGCTGCAAGTGAGCCAAGATCACACCACTTCACTTCAGCCTGGGCAACACAGAGAGATTCTGTCTCAAAAATAATTAATTAATTAATTAATTTAATTAAAAACTGTGCAGACTTAATCTTGGTAACTTTTTCATGGAAGTGATACTTTCAAATACTAAGTTAAAATATACAGTTTAGTCAAAAAATCATCACATACCCAAAAGCTAACAGCAGCCATAAAATTTCATAATCTGATAGTGTATTCACTTTTGTAACATTAATGTTGCAATCTGGCCTTTAATTTTGAGAAGCAAGCTTCTCTTAAAAAACATACCTTCAGTTTTAGAAACACTATTTAAGAAAAAAACAGGCCAGGCGTGGTGGCTCACACCTGTAATTCCAGCACTTTAGGATGCCAAGGA